GAGTTCTAAAGCTTTGCATAAACAAACCAGGCTTCCAAAAAAAGATGTTATTAAAAGAAACTTTCGAATATATCTCTGATTCTGGCAAGTGTGGCTCTTAAATTGGTACATGCTGTATATGTATGTATATGTGCACATATTAGTTGTCTCATGTTGCTTCCAGAAAGCTCTATACTTAACAAGTTTCTCAAAAGTTTATTTAGATGCAGTTTGACTGTCTGGTGAGCACTCAGCATCTCCAGGGCACTGTGGCTCTGGTCTCCAGGTTTTCTGGCCACACTGTCTACGGTGTCACTAGTAATCTAGTCAATATTCTAGCATTCCAGCACTTTCCTGAGTCCTGCACACCCCTGCTCTGGGTCATCTCCGTTTCTCCCCATCAATGTGATTTTTCATCTCATCACATCACATTGTTCCTGAGCAGATGCCCACTGAGCACCTGGCTCACGCCAGACACTTTTGTAGGCATTGGAGACACAGGGAAAAGTAGAGTAAAATCCCTGCCTGTGCTTTTTATTCTAGAGGAGCAAGGAGAAAATAAACAAGACAAATGTATTTAAAATATGTTAGGAAGGACCGGGGACAAGTGCTGCAGTTAACTTCATCCTGAGCTGTGACACACATGAAGCCAGGAAGCCACTTTCCATTTTGTTGGCTCTGAGCTGTGGTGCCTGAGACCTATGGGTGGCAGCGCCCAGGGAAGGCAGCACGGAGAACTTGTTTTAATCTTGCAGAGTTTCCCGTGGACCCCTTCCCGTCCATCTGCCTGGACCTGGAGAGAGGCCGCTCCCTGCCCTCTGCCTGTGCTTCACGGGGTCCTAACCAGGGGGCGACACAAGCCAGACGCTTCTTCAGCATCCACACACAATCCACTTTCCCTGGAGCCAATGTGGCTCCTTCCGCTGCTCCTGAATTGGGTGGGACCGACCCTAAAATACTTCACCCAATATCCCTAGGGCTTTTTCTCAAGAGAGAGAAGCTGCTCTTCCCAGACTCATTGCCACCAAGGTCGCATGAGCCTAAATCCCAAAGGTGCCCACTTGCTGAGCTGGCAACACAGGGTCCAGGACCTGGCACATCTCTCACAATTAAACTCACCCTGTTCTTGCTGAAGGGCAGCAACTGACACTTAGAGGTGGACAAGGAATCAGAAGGGATAAAACAGAGAGGCCTCTGGTTTCTGCTGTTCCAGGCGCCATTAAAAACTCATCCCCAGATTCTGACTTGCAAATCTACCACCTGATTAGAAGACACACCCACCCCAGCAGCGGGTGGCGACTGTAGGGCCTCCGAGCTCTGGGGGAGACATTGTGTGTCCCTTGGGCAAACTGCTCATCATCTGGAAAAGCCACATCTAGAGCCCCACTTGGGCCTAACGAGATGAACAGCCTGTGCCGCACTCCAGCCTTGCTGGGACCGCCCGACATTTGTTTAAAGCTGCCTGGTTCTCAAAGTTCCAGCCCCAGGCGCCGAGTCCAGTGAGGACACCCTCTTCTCAGAGCTGGCTCCGGAGCCACAGCTGTCCAGTCCACTCCCAGCAAAGCTCAGGCCTCTGCTTCCTCACGACCACGCACTCTTCTCTGTCTCTCTCCAACCCAGCAGCAGCCCAAGACGTGTCTTCTCCCACGCGGGTGGGACTGTCTGACCCGTGCCACCCCCTGGGAGAGACTTTCTGGGTGTCTTCGTGTGCTGCGGGTGGAGGACCCACTCTCCACCTCCCCTCTTCACTGGAGCTGCTGCGGACGGTGATTTCTACCTCCTGTGCTCCTTGCGGTCCAGGGAGGTCTCCTAGATGCCAGCTGGATGCACTACCTAAGACCCATGCCCGTGTCTCCTGGTGCAGAAGGCCTGTGTCCTGAAGGGCCTCCTGCCTGCCCAGGGAAGGGAGCCGCGTCTGTGCTCGGTCACTCCTGTCCTTCTTCCCGTCGTTTTCATGCAGATCCCTCCAGGGTTGCAGAACCCAGGCTCCCTCTCACCTGCTCTCCCCTCCTCTCCGAGTCTGCCGCAGCGAGGGCCCCTCCTTTCTTACCCCCTCGGCTCCTGACTCCCAACCGAAGCTGTTTCACAGCCAGCCTTCTCCCCCGGGCGACCCCGCCCCGAGGTCCCCTGTAGTTCTGCTTATTGGCCGTTCTGGCAGGGGTGACAGAGCCTTCTTCCTGCCCAGAGGGCCGAGAGCGTCTGTCTCTGAGCAAACTCCATTCAGGTGGCCTCGGTGACTTCCGGCACAGTGTGCTCTATTCCTAGCAGCCTCCCGGATCCCCAGTCCTCTGTGACTTTCCCCAGAGGCCACCACCCACCCCACCAGAGGTGCTGCTCCTCTCTGCAGAGCACCACTCCACCCCGGAGCCCACAACCATGGCCCTCCCCAGTCCAGGAGCAGACCAGCCCTCACTACTGAGAAACAGGACCCATGAGGGACAAGGACAGAAGCTGAGGTCCTCATACCAGTGCCACCCATGGCCACACCCAGGATCTCAGAGCTCCGCCTGCTTCTGTGGGAGCAGTGAGAGCCCCCCAGAGCAGATCCCCACCCCGTGTCCCCTTGCCTGGGCGGGGAACAAGCAGAGGGCCAAGAAAGCCAGCGCGACTGCGCCTCGGAGCAAGTCTATGGTGACCACACCAAGGTCTAGTGTCCGCCACGGTGGCTCTGGGGGTGCAACAGCTCTCACCACAGCCTCCCTCAGAGCCGCCCCACACACAGCTGCACTGCCCACGGTGAGCAGCGTCACTGTCTCTGGAGAGACAGGCACGGGGAGGCCATGCCCAGACATGGAATCTGGTGACTGGACTCCCCACGCTCAGGCCCAGGCCCATGACCCCTGGGACACTCCAGGTTGCAGAGCCCACCTGTGACATCCAAGGCTGTGGCCCCATCACAAGTAACCTCCCAGGAAGCAGCAGCCAAACCACTCCTCATCCTGGTGAACCGGGGACCTAGTGACACTGTGCAGGACATGTGCCTTAACACAGACCCCGACTCTGGTTGCCTGGCCCAGAAGGAAGCGTCAAGGGCCCAACAGGGAGACCCATGCAAACAGACTAAGTCCTCACGGGGAAGCGGAGCTTTATTTTTAGTTGTCAATGTACTTTTATTTATTTATTTATATGTGGTGCTGAGAATCAAACCCAGGGCCTCGCACATGCCAGGCGAGTGCTCTACCACTGAGCCACAACCCCAGCCCATGAAAAAAGAGAGCTTTTAGCCCCTCGCCCCCCACTTCTGCTGCAGCCACCCTGGCCAAGGTCGTCTCCCTGCTGACCTATCTACTTGGACTCCTGTGTCTGTGTGACGCTGGCCAACTCCCCTCATCTCTCCAGGCACGGCTTCTTCGTTTGTAGAAGGAGAGGTCGGAATTAGTGTTTGGTGTTTGGTGCTTTGCCCAGTGGAGGTTGGCTTTATCCTGAGACCATCATAATGCTTCCTTATAAAAGAGACGCGTGCACCGCTGCCTTGACAGTCCCCTGGGACTGGGAGTCTCTCCAGCCTGACCTGGAGCAGAGGTCGCTGTGCAAGGGCTGGACAGGAGTCCTGGCGCCTGGCCGTGGGCGGGGAGGTTGGCCGCGGCCCAGGTCTTTCCGGCCCTCTCCAGTCAGTGGTAATTAAAATCTTCCCCAACCGGATGACCTGTCAGCTGATCTCATGAGACAGCCCCTGAGACTTTGCCTGTCGGCAGGGGGCCGTTTGGATTGGCACTTGCAGCTGGTTGGCAGCCACGGAGAGAAGGACGTGTGATCTGCACCCGCCCAGCGCCCCTCCCCGCGCTCCCAGGAGCTGTTCAAGCGAGAGCCCCTGAACCGGGGCAGCTCTCAGGAGCCCTGTGCTCTGGCTTCTGTTTGTTGCTGGCTGCTCTGTGCCTCCTGGATCAGCAGCTGCGACATTCTCAAGATGAGACCAGCCCTGCCTTGCCCTGGCCCAGCCTCTGCTAATGCTTTCGGGTGCTTGCAGAGTGAACTGTGGACACTCATGGCAGCCTGCGGGACCTGCCTGCGTCTCCACCCAGGCCCCTCTGGTCCAGGAGCTCCGCCTCACTCAACAAGCCTCACCCCGGGAGGATGGCAGGCTCCCAAACTCCACCTTAAAAGCCAGGAGCACTGCTTTCAAACTCCAGGTCTCAACTCATTCGTCATCCATGAAATTAATCCAGTGGTTTCCCACCAAGGACTTTATAACGGAGCAGAGTCAAAAGTGGTTTTGGAAAGTCAGATTGGGGCAAAGAGCAAGGAGGGGTGGAGAGCACCGGGGACGGCGGAGGAGCTGGAGGAGAGCCTGGAGGGTCCCCAGCAGGTGTCGAGAATGAACAGCGGAGGAGGGAGGAGCAGGGAAAGTCCAGACATGGGGTCTCCATGAGCTGGGTGGGAGGGAGACAGCACTGCGACGTGGTCCTGCGCTGCCTCGGTGACCAGAGAGACGTGTCCTCTCCCTTGTGCACTTGGAGCAGTGCCAACCGAGAGCTCGGACAGATGAGGGTCTGCGGGACCTCGGGTTCCTCACCAGGAGCCACTGCCCAGCACCCCCTGCTGGGCTGCCAGGTCCTGTCCTGCCTGAAGGAGGCGTGGGAGAGAGGGAGGGAAGGAGGGGAAAGAGAACTTGCTCTAAACTGACAAGTCCTCTCCAAATCCCGAGTCCCTGGGCCGTCACCTCCACCGCTGGGGCTTGACCAGACAAGGCAAGGTTTGTGTTTAAAGCCTTGGCGTTAGAGACAGCCCGAGCTGGCCCTGGCCCCAGCAGTCTCCAGCTCCAGACGGAGCCCGGGCAGTGCTCCTCTGAGTTTGGGTTTTGCGGGTGCCCAGAAGGCATGTCTTTGTTATCCATTTGCAGAAGTGTTACATGCCTTATGCAGAAAATCAGAGAAAAAAGAATTTAAACATCACCCTGTAAATTGTTATTTAAAACATACATATGTATTTTTAATGTTTCAATGCATACATGTCTGCACATGTTGCAGACCTAAAATATGACCATATCATTAACAATTAATAAAAAGCTTTAATAAAATCAATTTATATAGAGAAGATTTTTAATGATTCTTAAAACACACCTCAGTAGTTGGCCTGAGTTACTTTTTGTAGATGTCATTTGTGGAAAGTCTTTGACAGTGACAGATTTCTCGCGGATGGAGAGGAGGAGGGTGGAGCATGACTCATCTTGGATTAAACCCTTTTTGGATAAGATTCCATGGTTGTGCATAAAAGAAGGACCAAGAGAGAAAAATAAGTGAAGTTAGTGGAAAGTGAGACATTCAGACTCAGAGAAAATGTTGGGGGTCAAAGACACCTCCTTTACTCCCGTTTCTTTTGTTTGTTTGTTGGGCAGTCTAAGGAATAGGAGGTCCTGGTCATCCAGAGAAACTTGGCACCTGCCAAAGGCCCCTTAAGTACTGAATCAGGGGCCCAGGACTGCTGAGACGGGAGAAAACACTGGTGGGACTTCCATTTAAAATGCAAAGCCTCGGGTCCTACGTGTGGACAATTAGTTGTCAAGGTCAGCTGTGGTGACTTCTTACCCAGAACCTGTCACCCCCTCTCCTCATCTGAGATCGACCCACAGGTCCCCAGCACCCCTGGGTGGGGACGGATGGGGTCTGTGCCCCGCCGCTGCCTGGCTCTGCCCAGCCCCTCTGGCTCCTTCCCCTTCACTCGGACGTGGACATGGGAATGCCCTGCAGCCGCGGCCTCCCCCGGGCACTAACCGAGGCCCTGGCCTCTCATCTTCAGCAGGACTTCCTCCCAGGTCCCTCCCAGGTTCTGCTCCACGTCTCGGCTTCCACCGAAGCCAGGCCTCCATCTGCCCACACCAATGTCACCAGGCCCGTCCCAGCCCCGGTGACCGCCCTCTTGTGAATCCAGGGCCAGCGTCACTGTCCCCTGGCCTCTCAGTGGCATTTCAGCTGACCGGCTGCTTCCTCTTGGCTCTGCGCCACCCCAGCCTCCTGCTTCCTGCCGCCTCCTGGCTGCTCTGTGTCCTCTGGTCTCTAAAGGCTGCAGCACCAGCCCCTTCTGCATGGACACGTCTCCCACGGAGACCTCAGCCAGAGAGGGCTTCTAAGTATCTTTACAAAAAGATCCCCACGTCTCGCTCCCCCTTCCGTCTTTCCAGGGAGCCGTGGCCTGCTCTCCAGCACTCGGACTTCACGGCAGAGTCCCATCGACATCCCACTAGGTGTGTCAGAGGGGATGCTTGCTCGTCCCCTGCCCCAGCTTTCTTCCTCTCTCTCCCTGTCCTGTGCATCTCAGGGGTGACCGCCTCGACCTTTAACCACGTCTCCAGCAGTGTCCTTGATCTCTCCTTCCTGTGTCCATCCCACTAAGTCCCATCCCCTTTTGCTTTCCAAATAAATCCTGAGGTCATCTCTCCGTCCCCACGACTACTACTTCCCTCCACATTACCCGCTCTTGTGCCAGGACAGGGGAGTCAGAGCATTCAAAAAGCCGTTGCTTTTTGTAAAAGCTGAAACCTGATGAAACTCCACTGGAGAGTGATCTCCAGTGGGCTCCCAATGCCCAGGAACGAAAACCCACACTCCCTCTACAATCCTGGAAAAGTGGAACCCTCCTAACCCACCCACACCGTGTGACTCTCATTCACCCACCTGTTTTCTCAGGAAGGAAGGACCTGGTGATGAGTGACTGACAGGACGGCAGGGCGCTGGGAATGACCTCTGTGTTGTGCACTGCTCAGTTTGATGGCATGTCAGTCACCGTGGTCCTGGCTGCTGCAACAAATGGGCAACAGAGAAAAGGCTCAGACAGTGGAGCTGTTTGTGGTCCACATAATAGTGCAGGACTGTTGTGTAGCTTTGTCCACCTGAAAATTCCCAGACCTGTTCCTCCACAGCTTCACTGCCCCCTGACCTGCTGTTCTTACCTGTTCGACAGGTAAGACAGACTGTGGAAGGGTAGAGGGTGAGCAAGGCTCACTGCCCTGGCATTTCCCCTGGCATTCCACTGGCAAGATCCAGACAGGAGGCCACTGCTGGATGCCAAAGGGGCCAGGAATATGGTCCCTGGTGGGCAGCACATCCTGGAACTCCCCTCTCTGGGTGGGCACAAGCCCCAGAGCTCAGCTGGCCAGCTCTACCACTGGACCTGTCCTTGTAAGGAGAGACTCAGGGAGGCTTTGGAGCAAGGGGGAAGGATGGAGGTTTCAGGATGGAGTGTCACCTGGTCACAAAACCAGCCGGCCAGGACCAAGGGGGACCGGCACCCTGGAGTACAAATGGAGGGAGATGCCCCTTCACCCAGCATCATTCATGCTCAGCCTGAAGCAGGTTCCAATCCTGGCGTGGAACTCTCTGAGCCAGAGCACAGCGGTCGGCGGCGGGCGGGGATGAGCGTGGAGGGCACCTCCTCAGCAGAGGTCTGAGTGGGCCGTGAGCGCGGAGTGCGGAGCTGTGCTTGCCCTCAGGCTGCTGGGTAGGAGGCGCGGCTTTGTTTCTATCCAATTTGTAAATAATTATCGATCCCCGTTTCCTGCAGCTCACACAAATGTCGTGGGGACAAAGGCGGTGCTCCGCGGTGGTGGAGAGACTGGGCAGGGACCTGGACAGTGGAAGGCACAAAGGGCTCTAGGTGCTCAGCCTCAGCAGGGACTATCTGCTCAGCTCTCCTCTGGGGGGCAACTTTGTGACGGGGCTGGCTTGGTGGAGGGGACAAAGGGAATGGAAGCCCTGCCTCTCTGGAGAGTGGCACATGCACTGGGGAGGGTGGGGACAGCCCACGTCTCCTGCAGGAAGAGGAGGCTCCCTGGAGGGCGGGCAAGGCAGGAGGAGCTGAGAGCCTGGGGGCTGAGAAGTCAGGAGAACTGAGGCTCCACTGTGCGGACCAGCAGGGCACCTCCAGAGAGGCCCAGGAGTGGGCTGGGGCTGGGGGCAGCCAGGCCAGACTGGAACTTTGCTGAGGAGCTGGACTTTCTTCCAGGTGCCCAGGGAGTTACTGGGCTTTCCAAAGAGAGGAGAGAGGTGGGCAGGCTTTGGATTCTGTTTTAGATGAATTTCTTTGGAAAGTGGATCTGGGGGATGCCCAGTGTGGAGTTCAGAGCAGGGAGAAAGGACACCCCTTCGATTGCAGCGGGGTGCAGAGTTCACTCACCTGCCTGACACTGAGGGTACACTGAGCTCATGCTGGGAATCAGGCCAGACACTGGGGACACAAGAGTGTCAGGGCCCAGTCCCCACAGATTCATGGAAACCATCCACTCATTGATAAGTAGCTTGGCAGTGGAGTAAGGACCCAGCGGTGGCGCCTGCAGGGGTTAAATCACCCCCTTCCCTGCGGCCCCGGCTTTCCCACTGGACGCTGACTCTGCCCAACCGCGGTGGCCAGTGACTGAATCTCTGTCCATGAGGAGCAGCCCAGGTCTCACTTCAACTCTGACCTTAACCAGAGCCTTGCTAGCACACCCTGGTGGGCCACTAGCAGAGGCTGGGTCATCCAGTGGCCCACTGTGAGTACCAGGACACACAGAATGAAGGTGAATTTGCAGTTTGCTTTACAGGTCAATTATTGGGCTTGAAAGCGGTGCTTGAGGAGGGAGAGCAAATTTGCACTGGTCTCCTGTAGCCCTTGGTCCATTCCTAAGAGCACTCCCTGCGTGGGAGGGAGGTCTTCCCCTTTGGCCTCCCGTCCTATCCAAGCAGGTCTGTGCCTGCACAAGAGAGAACAGATGAAGGCCAGAGCAGAGAGACAACTCATGTCCACTGGTCTTCAGATTCGGTGACTCCTACTGGACAGATATCTAGGAGTCTCCAGAGCACAGGGCACATCTGCCTGGAGTCCCCTGTCAGCCCACCTTCCCACACAAGTCATGGGTCGGGGCCCTCAACAGCACACAGTTGCTGGGGTTGCCCACGCCTGTGTAGGAGTCCTCCCACTCCCCACCCCCGAGACCCTGGTCTTCTCTGCTCTTGCCTGCGTGAATTCTCAGATTGCCCTGACCAATCAGCCCCTTCCGACTAATTACCAAAAAGGGCCAATGAAAATTAGTGTACAAGGAGATTCAAAAAGAAAAAGGGAAAAACCAGGTTGCTCAGCAACCCAACTCCGTCAGCAGAGGGAGATGCTATTTTTACACTGAGAAGGTGGCTGCAGTTGATTCTGCAGCAGGGTCCTGGGAGAACCAAGCTCCACCTTAGCCAGGGAGAGGACATCCCGGGGACCCGGAAATGAGCTGCAAGGCACAACTAGGCAAGCACCTGTGACCGAGGGCAGCCTGGGCCCAGGTGGCAGCCGGGCGTGGACCGCCAGGGGTCTCAGGTTGAACACTCTCCTTCAGAGAGGGCTCCCCTTATCAAGTCCCCACCCAGTGCTCTTTCTCCTTGTCCCTCACCAACGTTTGCAACCAGGAATGTATTTTTGTGAGGTTTACCAACTGCCCCTACGTGCTAACCTGGAAGCTCAGCAAGGCAGGATCAAGGCCAGTCTCACTCCCACCCAGTGCCCAGCTGCTTCTCCTGACGGGTTCCCAGTGGCTCTGCACGCATCCTTGTGGATTGAATTAGTGAATCAGTGAAGAAGCTGAATACAGGGTAACGGAGCTGTCGTCATTAAATGTCAACTCTAGTCAACGTGGGGAAGAACACACGTCTCAGCATTTTTATTTTGAGTTGCTAACAGAAGTATTTTTCCACAATAAAATGCCTAGATTCCGACAACTGCTGGTTGAGGGCTCGTCCCAGATCATCTCATGTGCTTGCACTTGACCTCGACACTGGAGGTCCGTAGCAGGCTTTCCTCTGCAGCTGGGGGTAGACACGCAGGTGCACTGGTTAGCCAGGCTCTGTGTCTGAGTCACATTGCAGTAGGGCAGAGGGACACCTCAGGGACACTGACAAGAGAATGCACAGATGTTCAGGGCAGTGATGCAGGGGCGGGCCAGGGTGCCCGGAAGGGAGGTGGCCTGCCGTGTCCAGGCAGGTGTGGTGGTCCTGAGTGGCCTTTTGACATTGAGGAGAGACGCAGAGAAGGGAGGGGAGCTGTGTGCGGCTCTGGAGGAAGAGTCTTCTGCAGCTGGCATGGGGTGGCGGTGAGGTGCCTGGGGTCCTGCAGGGGAGGCCCTGGTGGAGATGGGAAGAGGAGGCCCTGGAGCGGTGGTGAGACCGACCCCTGTGGGGCAAGGCGGGAGGTGAGGCCAGAGGGAAATTTGTGGACATGTGGGAGGTGGGTGAGGGTGGCCCCGGGGGACAGGGACTCATGGTGTGGTAGGCAGAGGGCCGCACTGGAGGCCTCTTGATGGCAGAGCCCGTAGGATCTACTGGTGGGTGGACGTGGGGTGAGAGGGCGGTGGCGGAGGACGTGGAGGTTTTAGCCCGAGCATCTAGAAGGGAGGGAGGCAGCCGCTGAGCTGGAGCACCCAGGGGCCACTGAGACACGGCCTTCTTCCCCGGGTCACCCCACAGCAGGCTCACCCACGGCAACCCGTGCTGGAACTGCACGACGGCCGAGCCCCTTTCCAGCAGAGGCCCCTGCTCTTCCCTCAGAGCAAAGGGGCGAGCAGAAGGTGGGAAAAGCCTGGTGACCGAGTGAAGACGCTCCGGGAGCCACAAACAGAAGAAGGAAGGCAGGCGGGGCAGGGATCAGGGATCAGGGCCTTGGCCCCGCCGGGTGGTCCTGCACCCACTGTCCACCCCGCCTGGTCAGGGTCACTGTGTCAATCAGCCGCACTTCACAGCCACCGCTGCTCCCCTGGGTCCTGCCCTGCGGGGTCACCAGTTGCGGGTTTCATTCTCCCTAGCTGGACCTCATCTCCCCACCCTGCCCTGGAAGGCCCCTCCCGACTCAGCCTCGGGTCATTTTTTCCCCTCTTTTGTCCACTGTGATCTCTCTTCCTAGGCTCCATCCAATTCCGAATCTTCAGATGCAACCCACACGTGAGCGTGTCCCAGTTTGTCATCACCCGGGACTCTCCCCCAAGCCCCAGTCTGTGGGACCACCAGGAGCCCCGGCCAAACGTCAACCATTTGTGTCTAAACCCCTCCAACACGGAAGGCTCGCTCCTCCTCTTTCTACGAGATTTGCCTGGTTCTCAGATACCCAGAAAGTCCACTGTGCATTTTTGTGTTCCTTTTGGTCCTGGAACCACAAAAATCGCCCACATTGTTGCCCAACAGATGGTGAATACTTCCAGACAGACATTACCTCTCCTTTAGTCGCGTTCTCTATAAGCTCGCCCATGCTTTTTCAGGCATTTAAAAGTATTTATTGACTGTGCATTTTGTATAGAGCATCGTGCGGGATCCAGTCACTAAAACCATGGTCCTGGAGTCTGTCCTCAAAGTCTCACAGCTCAGTAGGACGACAAGATGCATCCTACACATGTTGGACATCCCTTGTCTGGAATGTTTGGGACAAAAGTGCTGTGGATTGGGGATGTTTGGGGAACTCAGAATATTTTCACATACATAATGAGATATCTTATGGCTGGGACCCAAATCTAAAAGTGAAATTCATTTGTTTCATGTACACATTCTACACACAGACTGAAATAAATTTTATAAATATTTTAAATGATTTTGTGCTTGAAGCGAAGGTCATGTATTACAGCTCAAGGGGCTGGGAGCAGCTGGTTTTCCCTTGGAGATGCTGAGTAAACTCTGTGTTGTGCACCTGCATTTTGATGGGGACTTATCACCTGGAGTCAGGGGTGGATTTCTCCTCTTGGGGACACCAGGTCGGTGCTCAGACAGATTGCATCTAAGCACTTGGGGCTTCAAGTCTCCTGATTAGCATACTGTGCCTGGAAACAGCCTGGCCATGCGTCAGAACAGCTCTGGGGGACAACCGGTAAGTTCCACCTCTATAGAAGTGGATGGAAACCAGAACGGGAAACCCTAAGTGCGCTAGGATTCCCACAGGCAGAATCCTCCCAGCCCTGGAGGGAATGATTTGTCCTCCCATGGGAGAAGGAGGTGGAGCCTCAGTGTGAAGGACTGACAAGACTCCAACACCTGGAGACTGGGAAGGCTAAGAGGGCTGTGTGAGCCAGGCCAGGAGGGACAGCTTGCAGGACACAGGAGAGGACAAGGACAAGTTCAGTTTCACAGAGTGAGAACATGAAAAGGGGTGAATTTGGTTCCTGCATCTGCTGAAGCAAAACACCACAGGCCGGCTGGCTTAACCCCACAGAAATCTGCATCCTCACAGTTTCAGAGGCCAGATGTCCAAGTTCAAGTTACCAGCAGGGCCTTGCTCCCTCTGCCTCGAGTTCCAGGGAGGACTGTCACTGCCTTGTCCAGCTTATGGTGGCTGCAGGCATCCTTGGCTTGGGCGGTGCTTCAGTCTCTGCCCCCAACTGCACAGGGCCCTCTCCCCTGTGTCTGAGCTTCATGTCGTCTTCTCCTCCAGGGCTGTTCTCTCTTCTTACAAGGACACACTGGTCATGTTGCAAGTATTGGATTGGGGTCCCTAATGGAGCATGACTTCATCTCGCCTCATTTACAAAACCCTCTTCTCAAGTTGCAGGTCCTGGGGGTGAGGAGTTGTACATATCTTTGCGGGGGAGGGGGAGTGGTCATAATTCAAGCCACTAACAGTGGGTGGTGGAAATTCAATAGGAGGAACGGTGTCATGGCAAATCCATGCTTCTCTTGGAACCAGGCTAAGGAATTCAGGCTATTCCTTGGGGCCCCAAGTCCTGGCAAGTCATCAGAACGACCAGAAGTCTTCTATAGGGGCAGACATGCAGATTCTGCCCACTCCGTGGGATCAGGCCCACCCTGGGGCAGGAAGCCTCTGAGCCTGCAGGGCTGATTCTCAGCCAGACCAGAGCACTGCTGTCTGATCCAGGCCTGCAGGAGGGTCTTCCCTTCTCAGACGTAGGTTTCAGGATGGTCTTGAGTAGCCACATACAAGTGCGTTTGAGTGTTTCTATCCTAAATCGTGTCCCTCTGAAGCCAACTGCCTCCTCAAGACAGTGGGGGGCCAGCCCTTGTCTGCTCAGCTTGATCTTCCCTGAGTGTCCTCTCGGAGGTGGCGGTTCTCACAGTGGCCAGATCTGCCCTGGGCCCGGAGCGTGTGTCTATTCAAACGCCTCCCACAGCTTTTGCCCACCAATAGCCTCAGATCCCCTTTCCCTCCCCAGTCCTTGTGCCGCCGACTCCTGGAACCGAACGCAGGTTCTGACACTTGAACTTCGTCTGGCCGTCTCAGCCGAGCGTGCCAGCCCGCAGAGGGATGTCATTTGTCATGGTAGCTTCATCTTGTGCATCTGTCGTCTGCAGATTTGATAAACATCTTTCGGACCTTACCGATGGGAGGCTTGTGACCCGACCTTCCAGGCTCCTTGCTCAGTGCCTCAAGATTCTGGAGTTCGTGGCCGGCCTTCTCTTAGGCAGAATAGCTCCTCAGAAACCTGCAAAGGACACAGGTCACCAGTCGTGACATGATGGAGACAATAGTGCGATGTTCACCGGATAACTCCTGGGTAGGGTGAGGCAGGACTGTCCTAGGACCAGTGGGTCAGAGCAAGGCGGGGGACATGCAGTGATGGCCAAGGTGGTGGACAAGGGCAGGGAGGGGAGATACGGCTTCCCCTAGAGGACGGAGAAGCCAGGAACAGCACACAGGCATGCAGCCCTGCAGAGTGGGACGGACTTCCAGAGTCCAGCAGTGGGGGGCACCCTTGCCATGGAAGGGCTGAGTCCCCTGGTGACAAACTTGTCCTGGTAAAATGCGGAGGTCCCAGGGCTGTTTCCCTCCTCCTCTACTGAGAGCACAGGGTGGGTGTCGTGGCCATCTCCAGCTTCTTCAGAAAGTGAGGAGAGAGGGCAGGGGTCTGCCCTTCGGGGAAGAGGTTTCTTCTGCACCCGTCCGTGGCCTCCACGGGCACCATCTGCACCGTCTCTCACCTGTGGTCTCGGGAAGGGTTGTGCTTCTCTTGCCCGCAGATCTTACCCTCTCGCCTTAGTGTTTATCAAGAGGCCTGGGTGGAACCTGCATGGGCCAGGGTCAGCGGCCATGGTTCACAACAAGAATGGACATTCTCTTTTCCACAGCCTTCTCCTTTTTCCTCCCGATACCTTGTACCTGGGCATATGGGCAGGCTGGGAGGAGGAGACCGTGTTTTCAGAGGGCTCTGGAAGGTGAACCCTGGCACCTGCATCATCTCCAAATGGGCACGAGGATCTGTAGATGGAGGCTGATCCCTGGGTGCTCCCGAGGGCTAAGGACCACCAGGAATAGGGAGTGTGTCTTCCGTGGCCTGGGATTGAGAAGGGATGCCCCGTGACTACTGCTGCAGCTGCTCGGCCACCTGCTTAAGATTATTTTATGTCCATTTAACTATGGAGAAGAAAACAAATAGGAGGACACAGGAATACCGCCCCCCCCGCCCCGCCACACACACTCCTGCCGAGCTCCCTGGCTCTCATTCCTGGCAGAGGGGAGAAACCTGTGGCCTGGGACATGCCAGGGATACAGGGCCAGGTTAGTGATTGCTCCTGAGTGGGGACCGCAGACCTGCCAGGAGGCACTGCACGACCTTTATTGAGACTTCTAGGACCCAGGCAGCTGGTTCTTCTTGGCTGAACCCCAGAGGCTGGGAGACCTGACTCTGGCCACCACCCTACAGTCCTGAAGTGGAGAGCTGTCCCATCGTGGAGGTGAAATGGAACCATTCTGCGGGACAAGGACATGTTGAGCTGCAGGCCAATACAGTCCTAGGCTCACTAGTTGCCTGAGTTACATGAGCCAGCACACCCCCAGATGATGTGTACACGGGAGAAAGGCTTTCTGTGTGGAGTTTCTGCAACATACAGTGACTTTCAAATTGTTTGAAAAGGCCTTTAAATATCCTCAGAACTGACAGAGAATGCAGCCTTTTGTGGGGTAGATACAACGTGCCATGCTACCAGGTCACCAAGGGGGCTGAGCCCCCATTCAGGGCTGCAACCACTAGGCCTAAAAGGCTCAGGTTCTTCTACCTTATAAAGAAAATGGTGCCGAGGTTGTAGGAGAAATGCTCTGCTTCCTTCTAGAACCTGACGGGTGGGAGCAGTCCGGCAGCGGCAGGTGAGCCTGGAGCTCCACGGGGCTGGCCCTCTCTGCTCGGCGGGGTCCCCTGGGCAGTGCAGAAATTAGACCCACTTCTTCAGGTGGAAGGGAATGAGCTCTTCGCCCACAGCCGAGTCATGGCGTCTTCAGGACCTGCACACCTCTGTTCTCTTGGTCCCCTCGGCCTCTGTGAGGTTTTGATTTCTCAGTGAAAAGCAGGACACTGCGGTGCCCAGGACAGGGATCGCCAAAAACATGGGCACATGACGAGGGTTTTCTCTCCCTGCTGCAGGGAGTTCACGTCTCCACTGTACGGAGAAGGTTGCAGTAGCCAGCACACTCGGAAACTTCTAAAGATGCCTAAGAGAGCCGGATGACAAGGACTTAGGACACCAGTCAACAGCTAAAGCCACTATGCCAGCAAAGCCTGTCAATCTACCCCCAACTTTTCCTTCTTAAAAACTGGTGCCACTCAGGAACTCCTGTGCTGTGGGTGTCCTCCTGTTGGGGATCTTTCCAGCACTTTCTGCCACCGTGGAGAGGACCAGCCGTGGAAAGTCCGTGGGAGGAGTGTGATTTTATGGCAGCACAGGGCCCCCTAGTGGAGGACTCAGCTAAAGTGGCAGGAACCTCCTCTGAGGGATGAGGGATGAGGGATAGGGAGGGAGGCGTGGGCAGGGAGAGAGCAGGAGTCTCCCAGCTCAGGGAGTGGCCCTGGTACGGGGACACTAAGGTAGTGAAAGGAGAAGTTCCTCCATGGTCACCTGCTGCTGGTAAGCGGGGAGAGCTCTAGGGAGGTGCCAGCTGCCTGGGTGGGGTTCCAGCTCAGACACCTCGGGAACTCCGTCCAGAGCGCTGGGTGGCCCCCTGACCAGGTGCTCACCTGCAGACCCATCTAACCGTCTCAATCCATAGACAGCGGGCTCCATTCCTCAGGGCTCGAGGTGAGGCGGGACATCATGGCGGAAGAATGGTGAAGCAGAGCAGCTCACATGATCAGTAAGCAGAAAGAGACTCCACTCTCCAGACACAAAACACATAGCCCACAGGCACGCCCCACCAAACCACTCCCTCCAGCCGGACCCACAGGCCTCCAGTTGACACCGAGTTAACCCATCAGGAATTAACTCATTAGGTTAAGGCTGAAGCCTAATCATTTCCCCTCCAAACCCTCTTGCATTGTCTCACGTGAGCTTTCAGGAGACAACTCCCATCCAAACCGTAGTATGTACCAATGGCACGATCACTTGCTTTTCTTCCCTGATAACTGGCATGTTTTGACAAGAAGCTGTGGGAATGTCATTGCTGAGGGCTGTGTCACCCATGGACTTAAGCACTAGGAAACAGCTAGCAAAGGGTGCTTTGTTTAAATAACAATTTACAAGAACAAGGCTCTAACCAAGGGCTTCTCTCCTTGATCTGTAGCCCCTGCTTCTCTAGTGGGCACAGGTGTGAAGGCCTGCACTGTACATCATGTGCTCTCAAAGGGGAGATATGGATCCCCAGGGGGCAAAAAAGGATTGCTTCAGGATGGGCAAAAAATTAGATATTAGTTTGGGGCTCTCCAAAGCTCAATCCTACCCAACAAAACCTTGCTTCTTAGTGCTTAATTCCTCCCCTTGGATTTTCTGAGTATCACTGAGGCAGCATTCACACTGAGTTCTGAAAGAGAGAAAATGTTTGCAAGGCAAGGAACGCAAGACCGTGGCGTGCAGATAACTGTGCTTGCAGACCTGGTTGATCTCTTCTGTGAGTGTCCTAATTATTTATTCTACCTGAGGCTTACTGTAGGTGAAGGCCCCACCAACACTCAGCCAGCTAGCTGTTCTTTAAACAGAGTGCCCCTCCTTCTGGAACTCCAATTAAACATGTGAGGTCTTGGATTCTGTGCTCCGTGACCCTCCCCTCGGAGAAGGCTGTAGAAGTTGGAGAAGCTGGGAGAGGAGGAGGGAGCAGGGAGATCCCAGGGCTCTGAGGGTGATTTGAGCAGAGCAGATGAAGGGTGGCCTGTGTCTGTGCTCTCCTGCTGAGGACTCACACACAGACCAGATAAAATGAGATTGTCCTGACAGACTCCACGCAGGCAGTCAAGCGAGGCTGTGCGCCTCCCGTGGGAAAAGGAAGGATGGTGGGTCTTTCACCCTGATGGCCTGAGGTCTAGGGACGCAAGTGCCTGGGCCCAGAGAGTGGGCCTGCCTTCGTTCCCATCTTTCATTTCATTAATTCTCTCTTCAGCCGTGTCTAATCCACTGCTGAGCCCACACACTGACTGTTGATTTCTAAAGATGATTTATTTTGAATCTCCCCAATCTTGAGTTCTATACCTTGCTGGTGTTTTCATGTTTTTCTTTAAATATAGTGAGCATGTATTTTTTACTTAAAACTCCACTGGATTCTACACTGCCTATTCACATTTTGGAGGGACCAGAGGGACGATTCTGCCATGCATGGGCTCTATGACTCCCACTCAATCTGCTGTACTTGTGTGGGCTCCTGTGAATGTGATCCCATCCTTCAGCGGCCAAGATCAAGGGGAAGGTGTGTCTCTTCAGAGAGGACTGTCCTTTCGGTTTTGCCACCACCCATCCATGCCACCAATCTAGCAACCCTTTAAAACAATCCCTGTGCCCGCAGGCTGCACTTGAACCCAGACCCACCCAGCCTGGGATCACAGCTTCCCGCCAGAGAAACCAGGACAGAAGGGTCAGTTCCCCTGTGCCCTTGGTGGGCCTGGGGGTTCCGGTCTGCACTCGGGGACCCTCTTCGGCCCCGTGGGTCCTCTGCTCCGGAGACACTCAGTAGTTTTCGAGGCAGTGGATGGATAAACACACCCTGAGCGAACCTACCGGCGGTCCCCCTCTCTCACCTCCCCCCACCGACCTAGGGGCTCCCCGGCGGCCCCGCGGTGCCGGACGCACGCCTGCGCGCACCTACGCGGAGGACCGGCTGCGCGCCTGGGAGAGACCAGGCTGGCGGCGGCTCCCCGCGCGTCTCCCCCTGCGGCCGCGCCCAGCTAGGACCCGAGGGCGTGCGCCATGGCCGGGAGCCCGCCGAGGGCTGAGCTGAGCTCGCTCCCTCCGCGGGGCTTGCGAGGGACCCTGGGAGACCCGCGTCCCTGCACCTCCACCAGAACCTCGGCGGGCGGCTGCAGCCCGGCTCTGGTCGGCCCTCTGTCCCTGCGTTTCTCCCACGGCAGTGACCGTCGCCTTCCCTTGCTGCAGTCCCGCCTTACAGACGTCCCAAACGGATTTGCAGAAGAGATCCAGACAGGCATTTTGCAATCTATACGCGCGGACAACTCACCGCCTGAGCGCGCGGCTCCGCTGCGGAGACCGGCGGGTCGGCCCTTGGCCGGGGGTGTGCTGCCATCTGGTGGCGCCGGCCGCCCGTGTGCGCCAAGCCCCTCCGGAGCCCCTCGGCGCCCCAGGGACCTCGTACTTAGCACCCATCACGCCGCCCGTCTGCCCTCCCTCTGTGTTTACCTCCTTCCCCTCAGTGAGTCCTGTGTCCTGTCCCGTTATCCCGGGAGCTGTGCACTGTGCACTGCCCGGTCCGTTAACCTCACCCGCTGTCTGTCGCAGCTACCAGCAGGTGGCGCTAGTCCCTCTGCCTGGGGTCCCTTTCCCTGTTGCCCTCAGCGGGTGCCTTACAGGAATCCCTTCTTAGGATGAAGACTAAAGGGTTTACTGTCAACTCAGGTTTCGGTGTATGGTTCTTTACATTATAATTACTCAGTCACATTAACTGTATAAATCAATGGGTTTCACTGTGACATTTCTATACATGCACTGTGTATGATTCAAACCAACCCACGTGGCTTAACCCGATTAAAATTATGAGTATAGGTTGTTTTTAAAGCAGCCGAGCTGAGAATTTCGGAGGAGAGACATCAGGTAGCATTTGGTTCCTGCAGCCCTTGGCCCTGTGGCTCCCCTGCTCTGTGACACTGAGCGGGTTGATTGCTGTTTGTGTCCCCAGCCAGAGGTTTCCATCCAGTGGGGACCCAAGGAACACACTCCTGTGGTTCTTTAAAGGGTCACCAAGATGGGAACCAATTTCATGCCTCAAAATCATTGCCAGGCCTTCTGGCCACCGTGTAGGAAGCTCTGGGGAGGAAACGGGGGTGTTGGGAGGCCAGGGCCACCTCTGGCTGAGGATTCTAACAGCGTCACTGGACAGTAAGTTTTCCAAGTGACTCATGTATTTGCAGTAGTGAGAGGAAAACCTGCCTTGATTGGTGGAGAGGGCAGTGGGGCTGGCAGAGAGTAGGACAGGGTTTGTGTGTCTGTCTCCTGCATTGTGACCTCGGGAAGACTGGCCTAACGAGGTTGCTGTCCCTACCCACAGCGGGGTGACTGCACCTGAGGATGTGGTTTGTAGTCAGAAAGTGCATTGCTCATTGCTGTCTTGCAGGAGGTGGTGGAATGTTATTTATTTAAAACTTGTTGGTTTTGAAGAAGTGAATTTTTAAAATTAGTTGTAACTTTCTGTTCCTCTTAACCAAAATATTGCCCAATATTTTGGTTTAGTGGAGAAGGTAAAATGTACCAGAGCCTGGAATCCACATGAGCTTCTTATAGAGTTTAAAAATACAACCAACTTCAGTCTTTTCAAAATCTGGCTTTGTTTTCTCTTTTTCTTGTCAGTTCAAAAATGCAGCTTTTGTGGTTTAAAGAACAAAAAGAAAGGCTTATAAAATGACACAGAGACTCCTTAAGCACCAGAGCTTGTGGAAGGGCAAAATGCTGAGTGAATCTGTGAGCGACACACAGACTGAAGCTCCCGGAAGTTCACACGGGCTTAGAACTTAGGGGGAAGGAGCCTGGGGAAATGGGCCGAGGGTTTTCCTGGGCCCGGAAAAGTGGACAAGTGCTTTGTAGCATTTTACTGAACTCAACCAGCTTCCAGTTAAGCCTGTTCCCAATGAAAAGTCCACATGGTGCGGTTGACCACTGGAAACTGGTAACACTCCAGCCAGAGCAAGTGGCACACAGCACACCAAAGACCTTGGAGGAGGCCGAGAAACTCGAGAATGGAAGGGGAGCTCAGGGAGGGCCCTGAGCCTTTCAGAAATGCACTGTGATGTGGGACTGGGAACGACCGACCCCAAATCCCTTGTGTGGAAGCATGGTCCCTAGGCAGCCAGGCTCACAGGTGGGCTTGGGGCAACGACTGGACCATGAGGCCTCTGACCCCGTCCAAGAATTAATCCACTTGGTGAATCCACCATCTGAATGAACTCTGTGTGGTACCTGGAGGTCAATGGGACTGGCCTGGAGGAAGGGGTCACTGAGGTTGTGGCCTTGGGGACTTTACATGTCCCTGGACACCTTCGTCTCTCATGAGCCGAGCAGCTCCTCCACCACACCCTTTCACCATGATGATGGGCCTCACCTGCGCCCAGAGCAGTGGAGTTGGCCAACCATGGACGGAACCTCTGAAGCCATGAGACAAAGTACACTTCCTCTTCTAAGTTGTTCTCCTCAGGTATTTTGGTCACAGTGACAAAACCTGACTTACACATACATGAAGACTCGTTTGGGTGGAAATGTGCATGTCAGGAAAGGGGCATTTGAGCTACTGAGAACATCTCTGTATCCTGCAGGGGGTCCAGCCCCAGTGCATTGGGATCTCTGAAAAGAGATACGTCTCACCCAGGAAGAGCACCTGCCCATGTAGATCCAGTCCCAGCCCTGGTACCAATTTAATTGTCCCTCAGTCTGGTCCATTCAGGCCAGAGGCAACAGCAACTTGGAGAGGTCAAAGTTATGCCACACGGACACTTGCAAAGACCCAATTCAAATGCTTCATTACTGAGCATGAAATGAGGCAGAGAATGTGGTCACTGAGGCCACACCTCCTTCAGGAGGGGGGCCTTGTAGTGTGACGATGAAGGGGGCTGACCCCAGGGGTCATGGGATCTTGGGAGGCCGACCCCTGCACTTAACACTGGAGTGTTAAACGGGGCTAATACCCATCTCAGTGAGTCACTGTGACAGGTACCTGGTACCCAGTGCTCAGCGAATGTCACTGGTATTACTTTTCAGTTCCCAGCATGTCCCTAACTAAACCAGGACCTGCCTTGGCGAAGCCTGGGATGGCCAGGCTGACTTCCTCTGTGGGCGGGCAGATGCTCCTGGCTTGTGTCATTTGAAAGATGACAGGAAATTTTTAAAATATTTTCGCTTTTTGCTGCCTATCATTAAGGTTTCATAATTTTTAAAGTCTTGCCTTGTTGACTGCGGTTTTAAGCAGGAAGATCTTATTCTTTAGAATAAAGAGTTGCTTCCTCCTGGGCAGGAGTCCTGGTTCTTGAGAGCTTCCCACGGTACGGGTCGCGTGCCTGGTCCTGCCCACTGAGTGGGAGCGTGGTGACGGAGGAAGGGGCTTCCACGCAGGCTTGAGGACGCGGCTGAGTGGCAGTGTTCATTCTCGACTCTGCTGAGAGTTGATAGAAGGGAAGCGTCGGCCAGCTCTTTGGTCAGAGAGGCAAGTGGAGTACTCAGCACTTGAGCTTGCGCTTCCTCAGATGGTGCCACCAGGAAAGGCCAGGGGGTGCAGGGATTGGGCTCCAGTGTTATTTCCGAGAGCAAGGTGGAAAGAAAGCCTTGTCTACGGCAGCAGCAGCAGAAGCCTGGGCTCCGTTCATGGCTCACCCTTCCATCTTGACCCTGAACGATACTTTTCCAGTGTGGTCACCAATATGCCCAAGCTGACCTCAAAAGGCTCAGAGAGAAATGCCACTCTGGTCAGTAAACTTGAAGCAACTTTGAATGCTGGCACTGAACTTAAGAAAATGTTGATAACAATGAAGTTGCCAAAGAACTGGATGCATTTATGTGGAAGATCTGGATACCCCCCCCCCAAAATAATAACTTTCTGAGGTTTTAAGCCATTTTATTGACTCACTTAGCATCATAATATGTCCCCCAAAGTGTGCCTTGGGTTTCTCTTCCCCTCGAGTGTGGAACCCCGGGAGTTCTTGACCTCATGTTACCCCAGCCCGTTCAGGGAAGGCTCCCAACCCCATTCCTGGGTCTGTGCCCAGGCTAAGGGATGTGCTGCAGGAAGTGTGTCCACCAGGCCCTGGCTGTTCACTAGTGGGTGAACAGCCCTGAACACACACCGTGCTCCTTCTATGATGGCAGCTGGGGCCCTGCCAGCACAGCTCCCTGGGAGGAGGAGAGAAGCCCCTGCCTCCTTCCAGCTGCCTCCTCCGTGTGAAGCCCTCAGCCTCGCTTCCCTGGGCGAACCCGTCCATCTTCTCATGAACAAATCATCTCCTCCTCATTACACACAACCAACACAGGGTGAAGTAAAGCCACCTGCAGCAGCAAGTTGGAGCCATTAGTGTAAACCAGTGATAAACGGTGAGTGTTTTCAGTGTGATTTCTTCCTATCATTTGCCCCAGAGAATCAAGAATCCAAGGCAGAGAACAAACAAAAGACCTTTATTTCCATCTTGGGCTTTGCATAGGACAACTTTTAAGCCTGAGAAAGCTACTTGTCTGGCCACAGATTTCCTCGTGTATAAATGGGAACATAAATCTCCACCTGTCAAGTTCATGGTTAGGATTAATTAAATGCACGTTTGATACACATAGCAGGTACCTTAAGCCCAGCTGCTGCTCTCTTATTCTCTTATTTGGGATCTTGGGGCCTTCTGATGCCTTGCAGGCTTTCTGCCCCATGATGCACAGACGTCTGGCAGCCTCTCTGAAGGGGGACTGGGTGCCCGTTTGTTTTACCATTGACGATCCCAAACAGTAGCAGCTCCTGCAGCGGTAGCTGCTCACTTTAGGGAGAAAAAGAAGCTCACAGAAAATGCCTGGGGGTGTTGTCTTGGTGCGCTTCACTATTGGAACCCCGATTTCTGTGTTTTTCTGTTCTTGGGCAGGACTGGTCAGCAGGAACAGCACTTCCGGAGTCTCCCTCTGCCTTTGCTGGTTTTCTCAAGTGCCTACAGGTGGCACTGTTGGTGACTTCAGCTTAAGCATTCCGCTCATGCCCTTAGGTTTCCTTAGGGAGACTGCAGACGCACAGGTCTTTGAATCAGAATGACATGTCTCTTTATCTAAACATGCCAGTGCCTGAATAGGTCCCACTTGGATTTTCTTCTTGCTCGTTTGACATGTCTGTGGTGTTTCCGTGTGTGGCATGTGTGCGTCCATTCCAGAGCAGAGCCCTCTCTTCCTGATCTTGTGCCCCTGGGGAAGCCAGGCTGAGTCTAATTAGTCCCAAAAGTCCCTGAGCATCTCCTAGCACTGGGTGTGGAACAGACGCCATCACAGATGCTTGTGGTACAAATCCACTCCAGAGCTCCTAGCAACCCATTTCACCTGCTGAATGTAGCAGCCAGACACATAGATCCAGCTGACGTTCCCCACAGGAGCCTCCTTCCAAAACCACTGTATGCCACAGGATGGCTGAGAGACGGTCCGGGGCTGGCTGGCAGGAACGCACAGCCCTCCAGGACAGTGCACCCTACACAGCCATCTCGGGCCTCCAGAGGCGCCCCCCCATGAGGCGGGAGAGGAAGAGGCAGAGCACGTAGGCACCTCTGGCAGGATAAGTAAACAGCGAAAGAAAACAGGTCCTACTAGAAATCAAAAGCAACACACCTCAGTGAATTATCTGGGCTTGGTGATGACAGGGA